CTCGGATGAGACTACTGTTGCATATGCAACTGATAAATTATTTTGTTTCATTTACAGAATTATGTATCATAATGTTTCTTAACTTGTGCGAAATTCTACTGAAATCAATCTCAACTAAACAAGGAGTAAAATGTAACAATTTGAAAGCATTTCTCATAGAATTCTACTTTTAGTTACTCAGGCTAGACAGTTCTCCATAATCAACAAGAGGCCCACGGGCCTTATAGGTCACCTGAGCATTATGCAACAGGGTTCGACACTAAGTTTTTTACCTTGGTGGACCACAGGTCCACTTGTCAAAAATTATTGGTGGACCTTCTCAATATCTGGTGGACCTTTATAAATGTTTGAATTAATGAATGAATCTTCACACAAGGCATTCATTAAAACTAACTTTAATATATACAGATTCCAGTCAGACTAATAAAGCATAAATCTAACCAGTCAACAGAAACAAATAAATTAGGGACTAGTCAGATTTTTTTTTCAGAAATATTGTAAAACTTAAAAAAATTAAAACTAAAAAAAAAACTATTAATTTTATCTACAAACCAAAGAAATATTTTAATAATTATCATTAAATTACAATGGTGAAAATCTGCATTTATTTCACTTCTAAAGGTAGATTAAATTTAAGATTCCAATTATTAATTAATTTGTTCAAATATTAAACAAATGAATTTTTCATGTATCCATGGCTAGATCATTTTTTTTACTACGATGCAAAACTGACATCACATAGGTACATGTAAGTATATTAATTATTTTCTAAATTTATTATTTATTCAAATAAGTAGTGATATAGTGTATATCAAGAAAAAAAAATGAACTTGCAGATAATAGTTCATAAAATGTAAATTACGCCTGTTTGAACATCTATTTTTAAAAAAAACAATGCATATAAGAGCAGCTGTCAATCAATTCTAATTATCTCCAACAGTGTGCGTTCAGGCGTGAAGCGATTTCCTGCCTACCCAGTGTAATTTTCACACCTTCTGTGCATTACGTAAACAGAGGAGAGACTGGCTGATTTGGCACGGATTTTTCATGCTTCTTATTCATTTAATATTGGAGTTATCAATTTTACATGTAAAATATATATAGTTGCTTGCCCCCCCCCCTCCGATTACCTAAGCATTATTTACATGTGTATTTATTTCTTGTATAATAAAGGTATGGAGGAATTGATAAATTCCGTTACGGATTTCGATTTAAAGAAAAAAAACCTGGAAATTCACAGTTTTTTAAATACTGTGTTTATAATTTTAGTGGACCGACGGTCTACCTAGTCCAGAACATTTGGTGGACCTTCCAATTTTTTGGTGGACTCGGGCTGCCGGTCCACCGTTAGTGTCGAACCCTGTGCAACAACTTTCCAGTTACAGTGTATTGAATTTGATTCATGTTTTAAGCCAGATGCTATATGGCATTCACAATTTTGAAAGGGCACCATTGATCATCATAACAATAAACTTAGCAGTTGCTTAGCTTGGTTACTAAATACCCATAAGCAGGGTAGGGGAACAAAAATGCACTCCAACTAATCAGTAATATTAATCAATAATCAGTAGTGCCCCTAACACTCTCACATAAACCCCTGACCCTAGGTTGCACAAATTTTTAAAAGGCACCCTTAAAATTGCCTATCAAAAAGTAAATAAATGTTTTATAAATACAAAGGACCAGATTTCAAACAATTAATTCATTTTCAGTATATAAGTAGAGCCCCCCACTCCCCCACCCCTGACCCTGGGGCCTTGAAATTCACAATTCTGCAAGATTAGGGCCCTTGTTCATCATAACTATATAGGTAGTTCATCTGCTTCATACCCAGAGACAGAGAAGAAATTTTTCAAAGATTTAATGTACAATGTATTTTCACTATATAATCAATAGAGCCCCACCCTAACACCAGAACCCCAGACCCTGGGGCAATGAAATTCATAATTTTAGAAGAGGCATTCTTGCTCATCATAACTATGCACTTACTTAGTTTATTTAATACCTAGGAGCAGAGAAGAAGATTTTCAAAGAATTCATGTATTTTCACTATATAATCAATAAAGCCCCCCCCCACCAGAACCATTGACGCCGGGGCCATAAAATTCACAATTTTTGTAGAGGCACTCTTGCTCATCATAACTATGCACTTAGTTAGTTTATTTAATACCTAGGAGCAGAGAAGAAGATTTTCAAAGAATTCACGTATTTTCACTATATAATCAATAGAGCCCCCCCCCCACACACACACACACCAGAACCCTTGACCCTGGGGCCATAAAATTCACAATCTTGGTTGAGGAACACTTGCTTATCATAACTATGTACTTAGTTAGTTTATTTAATACCTAGGAGCAGAGAAGAAGATTTTCAAAGAATTCATGTATTTTCACTTTATAAACAATAAAGTCCCCCCCCCCCCCCACCAGAACCATTGATGCTGGGGCCATAAAATTCACAATTTTTGTAGAGGCACTCTTGCTCATCATAACTATGCACTTAGTTAGTTTATTTAATACCTAGGAGCAGAGAAGAAGATTTTCAAAGAATTCATGTAATTTCACTATATAATCAATAGAGCCCCCCCCCCAACACCAGGACCCTTGACCCTGGGGCCATAAAATTCACAATTTTGGTAGAGGCACTCTTGCTCATCATAATTATTTACTTACTTGGTTTATTTAATACCCAGGGGCAGAGAAGAAGATTTTCAAAGAAATCATGTATTTTCACTATATAATCAATAGAGCCCCCCCCCCCCCCACACACACACACACACCAGAACCCTTGACCCTGGGGCCATAAAATTCACAATCTTGGTTGAGGAACACTTGCTTATCATAACTATGTACTTAGTTAGTTTATTTAATACCTAGGAGCAGAGAAGAAGATTTTCAAAGAATTCATGTATTTTCACTATATACTTATTTAGCCCCGCCCTAGCACTAGAACCCCTGACCCCAGGGCCATGAATTTCACAATTTTGGTAGAGGACTCAATGCTGATTACAATCATGCAAATAGTTTGACTGCTTGATGTCCAGGAGTAAAGAAGAAGATTTTTAAAGATTGCATTAATTTTAGTGGTTTTGGCCCCACCCCTCAGGCCCCAGGGGGGCAGGGATCATGAAATTCACAATTTTCGTTCCCCTTCACCCATAGATGCTTTGTGCCAAATTTGGTTGAAATTGGTTCAGTGGTTGCAGAGAAGAAGCTGAAAATGTTCAAATGTTAACACACGACACACGACACACAACACACAACACACGACACACGACGGACGACGACGGACGAAAACGGATAGCAATAGGTCACCTGAGTTTACTCAGGTGACCTAAAAAGCAATTGCAGAAATTATATGCATTTAAAAGGAGCTGAAAAATTAATTCTAATCAGACAAAAAAAGTATCCTTTTGAATACAGTTTTCTTTTTTCTTAACCATTTTAATATTATTCATTAAAATCACAGAATTCTCAATACCAGTTTGCTGTCATCTTCCTGTGGGGGTGGTGTTGCCTCTTTTCTGGCCTGTTTGTTGAATTTCTTTTGTTGGGTTATCAGCTCTTGTAACCTACCACAAAAAAATGCATTAGAAGGCTCAAGACTTTAAAGCAACAAAGTTTACTGAAAAATATTATCTGCATTGTGATTTACTTGCAACATAGGAATACAGTGCAATTGTTTAAACTGGTTCAACACAAAAAACATTCATACTTGTTGAAACTTGAAAACACAGATCCATTTCTTTATAGCTACGTGTTAATCATTGCAACAGTCAATATTTGAAATGAAGAGCAAAAGTAGCTTTATATTCTCATATACAGACTTTATACTACATCGGAAATGATCTGATGTAGATATTTGAGTATAAGCATTTGTTTTTTTTTTTTTTTTCCAAATATCGTGGAATCATCACTGTGGAATTGCACTATGTAATTCATGATTAAATGCATCAAGCATAAAATAAATTAAGGATGTACTTGAGGTTCCAGTTGTGTATGGCATCTGCTATAAGTCGTTTTATTCTAACAACATTATCCTGCATTAGATAAAGCTGTTCTGTTATATCTGAAATAGAAACAATTCATTACTGTCCAATACAAAAAGTGAACTTCCATTAAAATCTTCAAGAAATGCTCATACAGATAAATGCACATGTACATGTAGTTTATCTTTTAATACATGTAATTGGTGTTGAACATAGATTTTATCTACTGTACCTCTAGTGTCAGTGCCACTGTCAATATCTACCCAGATATCTGCTAGCAACTGTCTTGTGTTATCCGCCAAGTCTTTTATTCTGCTTTTCTCTGTCTATAATAAATTAGAAATAAAAGAAATAAATCTGAGAAAACCATAATCATGACTAAAGTAAATACAGTTAACATGCACTGATAACCTGCTCCTCATTAAATCAAGAAAAAATTTGTACACAAAAAAGAAAATGTCAGTGCTTGACAATGGTCTTACTGGAATAATGGCCTTGTAGTCTGTGATGAGTTTACTTAGGGTCTCATTATGGGCATCACAGTTAGTGTTCACAATGGTGGTGTGAATAGAAGCAAACATGTCTGTACATCTGCAAAACACCCAAAATTAGATATGAGGACATGATTCTGCTCAATTTCAAAATCTTTTTAAATTTAATGGAAAGTTCTATGTGTACATATTGACCATCAGGATTTTGACATACATGTAATTGTACAACATACTTTGAAGTTAGGGATCTGACTTCATCTTTGAGTCTCGTCCAATGAGATTTTTGCATTCCATCTTCAATGCTTATGATTGGTGGAGGAAGAACAATTTCTTTTCTGCTTATTGGGTAGTATCTGAAATATTTTGTTTAAAAAAATATGCAACCCCAAATTTTCATTACACATTGGATTCATGCCAAATAAACACAATATTACATGTCTAATGCAATTATTTAATTCATTTGAAAACTAAGATGATATCATCCAAATAAAATACATTTTACATTGACATAATGAATTTCAACTCTGATACATACTTGAAGGTAGCCACAATGTTTCTGTGTCCAAAGTACTGACTGAAGAAATGATGTAAGGAGTGACTACATGGCTCTGACCCCACCCTTCTGACAAAGGAGGCTGCATGGAATCGAAGCTCTAAGTACTTAGCAAAAGACATGTTCCAGCTGTCCATACTCATAGGAACAAGAGGTGTGGCCTACATTCATTGTAGAGAATCAATAGAAAATTAAACTTTCTTTTTAAATACCAGTATGCACAAATGGATTTTTTTCTTTACAAATGAAAGTTTTTACTCTATCGAGATTTACTCTACATTTACTTTAAAAATATTAAAATTGGGAAGTGGTTACAAGAAATTTACTCTAAAGAATTGCTAGGATTCAATTCATGCTTTGTAGGTATAACACAATTTCCCCAACCTGTCTACATTTCCTACACCAGTTCCACATCATCAGTGCCTTCTCTCCCCCAGGAACACAGTTGGGAAGTTTTCTCAGGGAGATATAAATGGCACCATTGCTGTTAATGATCCTTCTAACATGGTCCAACATAGGGACATCACAGGTAGCTGAAGTACACACGTTGGGCTGACAGGAGTAGGATTCCCTATAATAGAGGAGTGTGTTCAATTAAATGCCATTTAATAGTCCATGTACCCGGTTATTAAAATGATCCCTTACAATAAATTAATATTGTGCTTGAAAATATTTTGCTTGTCAACACATTTACCTGAAACAGAACTTTTCAAGGAATCCACCAAGTGTTATGTCCTGGCTTCCATAAAATTCCATTGTAATTAATCTACAGTAAAAGTATTCACTTTGTGACAACATATAAAATGCAATAAGAGGACAAATGTATAAAACATGGGTGAACTCATTGTTGCTTCATTTACATGCCACTGAAGCTTTTCTCTAAAACATTTTATCTATATGATTACACCATCAGAAACCCAAAGAGCTTTGGTTCGGTCTACATTTCCACTTTTTGAATACATTGTACTTACTGAGGAGGAAGACAAGGCATGGGGTGGTTCTCTGACTTCTCAGAATAACTGCTGAGTAGAACCACCAATCTCTGATGCTGGGCAAAGTCCAGGCAATCAAGCTGACAAAAACAATTTATAAAGGTTAGCTGCCACCCATCGCAGGAGGTATTTTATGATCCAAAATATTTATCAATATATTTTTTTTTTAAAGGAGGGAAGTAGAGAACATTCCTTAATTAATTTGTGAAATACATTATGGTAATTCTTAAAACAACATCAAATTTTGTCACGATATAATGTAACAGCACTATAAATATATGACAAAATTCTAGCTAACTTGGGTTGAATCAACTTTACCATGTTTACTTTAATGTTCTTGCGTGTACATATAACAAAGTTTTACTAACCCCAAAATTCCTATTTTAAATAAATTCATATTTCTCAATGATGATCCATCAACATAATCATACCTTAGTAGGCATCCTTTTGGGGCTTTCCACTTCTTTAGGTTTAAGTGTCCCATTCTGAGTGACAGCTTTATCACTAGATGGCACAGCAACTTTTTTGTCATAAGATATCACAGGTCCCTTGGGTAGCTTGTCATAGTTTAGTTTTAATCTCCCTCCTCTTGCTCTAAAGTCAGCCAGCATGTCCTGAATAAATAAATGTTTATAAAAGTAATACATTGTAATAAATTTCAGCACAGACTATTCTTGATTGGGAATTTTCAAGATTTACCTCTTTTCTCTTTTTCTGTTTCAAAAATCACATTTACAGGTAAATAAAAACATAGGTAATCAAAGATTACGAAGCTCACCTCGACGAATGTATCAGTTTAAGTAATGCAAATCTCACATCATATTTTCTTAATATTAAGTATTCATCCCAACAAGAATATTCTTGCAAGTTGTGTTTAACCCCTTACATGGCATTATACACATTTCTATGTGTGTAGCGTGAAAACATGTATCGTGTAAACAAATATTCATAACTGTTAATACTGCAGATATCAAGGACTTCAAGTTCATTGGGATTAATCTGTTCCTAAAACTTTTACCTGGTCTCTTGTATGGAAAATATAGGTCAGATCCAGCACCCGAAGCAAGTCTGACAGTGTCCATCCCTAGATACATCATCCATGCAAGTTTGGTTTAGCTAGGGCTTATAGTTACTTGGGAATGAAAATGTAGGTCAGATCCAGCATCCGAAGCAAGTATGGTAGTGTCCATCCCTAGATACATCATCCATGCAAGTTTGGTTTAGCTAGGGCTTATAGTTACTTGGGACTGAAAATGTAGGTCAGATCCAGCATCCGAAACAAGTATGGTAGTGTCCTTTCCTAGATACATCATCCATGCAAGTTTGGTTTAGCTAGGGCTTATAGTTACTTGGGAATGAAAATGTAGGTCAGATCCAGCATCCGAAGCTAGTCTGGTAGTTTACATCCCTAGATACATCATTCATGCAAGTTTGGTTCATGTAGGGCTTATAGTTACTTGAGAATGAAAATGTAGGTCAGATCCAGCATCCGAAGCAAGTCTGGTTGTGTCCATCCCTAGATGCATCATCCATGCAAGTTTGGTCCAAATAGGGCTTTTAGTTCCTGTGGAATGGACCTGCTCCAAAAACTTTAACCTGGTCACTCATCTGGAAAATGTAGGTCAGATCCAGCATCTGAAGCAAGTTTTGAAGTGTCCTTTCCTAGATGCATCATCCATGCAAGTTTGGTCCAGGTAGGGCTTATAGTTCCTTGGGAAAAGACCTGCTCCAAAAACTTTAACCTGGTCACTCATCTGGAAAATGTAGGTCAGATCCAGCATCCAAAGCAAGTCTGATAGTGTACATCCCTAGATGCATCATCAATGCAAGTTTGGTCTGGGTAGGGCTTATAATTCCTCGGGAATGAACCTGCTCCAAAAACTTTAACCTGCTCCAAAAACTTTAACCTGGTCACTCATCTAGAAAATGTAGGTCAGATCCAGCATCCGAACCAAGTCTGGTAGTGTACATCCCTAGATGCATCATCCATGCAAATTTGGTCCCGGTAGAGCTTATAGTTCCTTGGGAATGGACCTGCTTCAAAAACTTTAACCTGCTCCAAAAACTTTAACCTAGTCACTCATCTAGAAAATGTAGGTTAGATCCAGCATCCGAAGCAAGTCTGGTAGTGTACATCCCTAGATGCATCATCCATACAAGTTTGGTTTAGGTAGGGCTTATAGTTACTTGGGAAAGGACTTGCTCCTAAAACTTTAACCTGGGACGCCGACGCTAACGCCGACGCCGGGGGTATAGCATAAGCTCATCTCGACTTCGTCGAGGTGAGCTAAAAAAATCATTTCCATATGGATTTATTGCATTTTTCAAGAATAGCCAAAACCATAAAATGACTTGCCTGTAGCATACATAGTTATTACAAATTTACAAGGATATGTAAATCCTTAAAATAAATATTCTACAGGGTACACATGTTGATAAGAACATGACACACACCTTCACACACTCACCTGCATTGACTTGTCTGTGATAGGGAGACAGAGCTGACTGACCACTAGAGGGTGGGCCTCTACCACCTCCACCCTGGACCACTCTAACACCGGCTTCTTCACGGGGGACTGGTAGTCAATGTTCTTACTCTTTTTCTTCTCCTGTTGATTCTCTGACTCAAAGTACTGGGACCAGTAAATCTCCTCAGGGAAAAACTTCCTGTTGTTGCACATAGACCCTTCCTCTGTCTCCAGATAGGGCAATTCATAATTGATGAATGGCGAACTGGAAAGAATGACCTCTTTTAAAAGTTTGTTGAATTTCTGACAGTGTTTCAGAGATTTCTCCTGGAGTGTGTGGGAGCTGTAGAAGATTGTCTCGTCTTTGTTTTTCTGGTAATTATACAGCGGATCGGACTGATCAGATATCTCCAGTCCCACAGGGTGTTTGGCAGACGATGGCCGACTTCCTCTGGTAAACATTTTATAACCTCCGTGATTCTCCGAGGTGTTTTCACTCACTTGATCTACAGGTACACCCACACTGCTGTCAGGCTGAATCACAATCCTGTCTGATTCAATGAGAACAGTTGGGCTTTCCTCTTGAATGATGACCACCTCTTCTGCCTTCTTTTCCTTTACATTCTCTGAATCTTTAGCTTTACTTGCATTGTCCTGATTTTCAAAATCCTGAATTTCTACAACCACCTCACTTTCTTTTATTTCACTAAAACTTTTCACCGTCTTCAATCCTTCCTCATTCATGCCCTTCCCTTTCTCCACATCACACATGTTAATCCCACTGGGAACCACAGGTAGTCCCTCCACTTCTTCCTGCCCCTCAGGAATGGGAACCATCTCGTCAGGGGTAGCCTGCTGCCTTGAGGACGGTGGCTGGGGGACCTCCATTGAGCCAGACAGGTCGTCCATACCAGGGGATACAGCATTGGTCTGGGCCTTATTGACTGGTAGAGCAAACTCATCCATACAGAATGAAATTTCCAGTTTGGAGTGGTAGGAGACAAACACCATCCACTTCATTATCTTCTTCAGCTGTGGATTTATAAATATTTGGTCAATATCAGTGCACAAGTACTGTACATAATATTGGTAGAGCACTCTTAGCATGCATTATAAATTATAGTCTCATCAAAATACATTCTCTTTATTCCAAAGTGGTGTTGATGTATTTATACCAGAGATTCATCAATACTTACCCTTTTAAGTTCACTAACAGTTCCCCCTCTAAGTGTGACTGTACATCCTAGATGTGTAGCACAGCCATCAAAACAAGGCATGGTCTTTGTCTCACCTACAAATTCCAACACAAATCATAAACCATAACATCCTTTTACATTTCAAGATCAGACTACGAATTTCATGCATCCATATTTCTCTCTTTACATTACTGATAGTACAATGTATTAAACAATATTGTTCTGGTAAGATTTACCATGAGGGAGTGTGAAGTGGCAGAGCTTAAAGTTGTGACAAAAGCCTAAGATGATTGGTCCACTCACGATGCTATCAATTGATGGCACTATACAGGCTTGGGTAAATCTGGCTAGTCTTTCCAACACACTCTTTAAATTAAACACATGTGCATTTTCCTTTTCAAAAACCCTTCAATATCAGTTAAGGTACAAAACTTACTGCTTACATCTGCACGTTAGCAGTTCGTAAGTAGTTATATATATGAATCAAATTTTGTGATTTAAATGAACAAGAGTTCTGTGATGAAACTATAGCTCTGCTTTAGGCAAGAAATGATCTGAATGCCTTCTTTTGGTCTGTTTATAATAATGGCTCATTTACACTGTATCTTTCGAAAACAAGAAGCCCATTTTTTTCATTGGGTGTGCTTATTTTGAGAAAAAAGATTTAAAATTGATTTTTTTGTCTTTTTTAATTCATGTGGGTTTTTTTTACCTTACATTTAATCTTCATTACTTGAGGATGCTTGCATAATTAAATGATTAACCAATGAAATTAAAAATCAATAATCAAATTATGTACCTTAATAGAAGACTACTTTTAAAACAGATTTTGTACAGAACTGTTCACAGACAAACTGCAGATCACTAACACTTTAACAATGCTTGACTGTGCTTTTTTGGTCCTCAGTCAGCAGAGTTAAATCTTTATTTTTTTCCTCTCATATACATGTAGATTATGTTTAAAATTGAATTATCAGAGTAAATACCATTTTAACATTGAAGATAAGTGTGATGCCCTCCTGTAACAGGAATTCCTGGGCCAGACGAGACACTGTGTTCTCCACTACAAGTATGTCTGGGCGGGGCTTCAGGGAGGCTATCTTAGTTATGTTGTTCCTCAAAAACTCTTCCTCCTGCGAAGGGAGTATGAAATTCTTCAAAATGGGATTTTTCAAAAATTCAAAAAATTCCATCGATTATTTAACAATGTCTTTCCCACAAGATTGTTCTAGTAAATTTTAATGCATATTTTTATAGTACCAAGTAAAATCATGTTTACTTTTAAAATCTAGGTTTTTCTAAATTTCAAATATATTCAAAGGAAAGTAAGGTAGAACAAATGAAGTATTCAGCATAAAACATACATGTAAGTTATTATCATTAATTCTTTTAAGGAACTGGTTCATCTCAATGTATTTTCAATACCAAGATAAATTCTTGTTGTGAACTGTAACAAATCTGTGATTAACCTGTTATATTTGAAGCACTAGATGACAAAACTGTGATTTGTAATGTTAGAGGCACCAGAGAAAATTACCTGTAATATTTGAGGCTCTAGAGATGAGAATTTGTTAATCCTCCTCTGGTATTCAATAGAGCCCTTCATCAGTAGGATCTGGGGGTTGGTAATTTGACTGGCCATTTTTTTATGGGCAATATTTTTGGTGAACACCATCCCATGAATCATACATGTCTGTTCCTTGTTGCCTCCTGGGATCTTTGGGAGAAAAGAAGCTCTTTATATCATCAAATAAATTTCAAGCATGGTAGACTCATTCCATATATAACTGCAAAATAATTCCTTTACTAGATTTTATAAAAGTAGGGATCTCAACGAATAGTCGAATGGACCAACTATCGAATAATGAAACGACATTCGATTATTTAATAAATGCAGAAAAAGGAGGTGATAAAAAAAAATCTCAACTCAAAATTGATAAAGCGTCATTCCTCAAACCATTATAGTATCTGCTAAGAGCTTAAATATAGTCAAAGTATAGAAATAAATCCCCACATTGTACATATGGACAGTACATAATTACATACCGCGATAATTATTTCTCAATTACCAACATTTTTCTGTTATTATAGTAAATTATGCAGCGCTATACTGGACTCTTGAAAATTATTAATTTGACTTGTACCAATTATAAATTTATACAGTATATTACCTCTAAGAATGTCCAAATGCTGTAGGAACACACCAGCGCCATAAAGTTTTCAAACTTCGATAATCATTAAAACAATAACCTAACATAGTAATGTCATTTTGATAGCCGGGCTAATAATTCATTGAACAAGACCTGATGTTTGGATTGTGTGTGTTTAAATCTCTCTTTTCCAATTATTTTTAATAAGCTTTAAAAACACTATGCTGATAATTCTCTGAGCGTACTAGATCGAAAGAATGTACAGTCCAATATTTATGAAATTCAATGTACGTGATTTACGAGAATTCATATATTTTGGAAAATTATAATTGCTGGTGTAAATCTATATGATTTCATCATCTTATTTCTACTTTCGGTGATGAAATTAAAAAAAAAAATGTTCCGAATAGTCGACTATCGTTCGAATAATGCAATCGATTGTTCGACTAAGGAAAATAAATATTTTGACATCCCTATATAAAAGCAAGTAAAACAAGTCATGAATACACTTAGAGTACATTGTACACGCACAATTATGTAAGTTAATGGTACCTTTTTGAACTTGATGTATTTCCTAATGTCCATGTGGTCATTCTCTACTCTCACATCAGGACAAACATAACGACTGATACGGTCAGCTGTGCCCAGTATGATGTCCAGCCAGGACTTGGACAGTCCCTCCTGTGTCAACATCTGACTGGCCAAATCTCGCAGGTGGTCTTTGTGGGCATCCCTGATTTAATTTAACATTTATATATAGATTAATTAATTTTCAATAAAATTGGCAAAATAAATAATGTTCCTAGATAAAATGTCCCAATTTTAGCACAGAATTAGACTACAAAATCTTCATGTTTTCTTGACCTTTACTTCAGTTTCATATACTGTACATTAACTACCGGTACAATCATTTCTTTTTAAAATGAGGCAGATTTATACTGAAATCAAAGCAGACCTGAGTTTTATGAAAGCTGCTTTCTCTCCATTTTCCTCTCTCAGTGCATCAATGTGCCTCCACCCTCTGTTCATACTGGACAGATGTTCTGCTGTGACAGTCTGAGAACTGGTAAACATGGAATCTACAGAAGTACACATATAATCAATATGACAAAAAAAAGTGCACAGGATGATATACAGTAAAACCTTGTTTCTTTAACTGAAAGAGGCCAAGACGAAAGTTTGAGATAACAGGTATTATACAATGTTCAAACTGTATTAACACTGAAACATCCTTTACCTTGCAATAGAAACTTTTGCAAACTTATCGTTTGCTCCATTAATGATATCAAGAAAATGCCAGTCGAACAATACTAAATCTTTTATAAGGACAACACAATAAAATCTGACTACATGTACTGTAAAAATGACCTGATATCAAATCATCCTGGCCTCCTAGTCCCTCTAAGTCAGTCCTAGGTAGAGGTTCAAACTCCACACCATCATTGTCTGAAATAAGATAAGAATATGGTCATAATAATAAACTGTAGTCACATTTTTTTCCATTTACAAGAGTCTTGAGAAATTTAAACATCTATTCCACCACTATACCTTGCTTAGAGCTATTTGTTCTATAATCCTGACTAACTGTAAAGGAACTCTTTTTCTTCAAGGCCCTTGGATCCTTAGATTCAGTGAAGTCTTCTGAAGCTGAAACTGCAACAAAATCATAAAAAATTCAATGGAAATTTTCCTTCACTGTCCTGGATCAACTGAACACTTTATAAAGCATATCCAGTTGAGCCTCGTTTATCAGGACACTTTGGTTCCTAGTCCATTTGTCTGGATATGTGAAGCGTCTGGATACCTGAATTACCAGTTAAACAAGACAAAATATCATTTAAAAATTCCTTCCAATGAAAAATCATCCGGATACTGAAGCATCCAGATATGTAGCGTCCGGATATCTGAAGGTCCACTGTACAATTCTTTAGGAAACTTATGGAGTAATCTTCGAATTGCAATAATGGAAAGTAAAATTGTTTATTTAACAATATTTTTTACATTTCCACAACAGATACATGTACATATTGTAGTCAGATAATAAATGACTCACATTCTTCAATAGACATATCTGACTGTATGGATTTGAACCATTCTGGCTCCATACTCTGTTCTGAAGATTCAACATCTTTCACATCTATCTGGGGTGGATCTACGGGGGAGGTCTGGCAAAGATAAAAAATTATTTCCAATAACAAAGAAATTCACACACCTAGTATTCATTATCAAATTGCTTAGACTAGCTCATTTTGCAAAATTATTTGAAACAATTCCATTCTTCTTCTAATTTCAACATATGGCCATTCTCTTTTCTACAATCTTTAGTTTGGTTTGATTTTGCTTTGATTACTGATGAGTGGTGACATATTTTATCATACAATGAGAGAACTGGTATTTGATACCTCTGAAGGCTTGTACAGAGTGAAATCATCATGAAACACTTTTGGTTGACCAGCAATAGTTTCTAGAAACCCAGCATCTAACAAAGCCTGTCCTATAGCAACAGCCTGTAATCTGTAAAAACGGTATAGTAAATCAACTATCTATACTTCGTCTGACAGATTTCCTGTGTAATATTATACATCATGTTCAACTTACTTATAAATTTAAAAGGCGTCACAGAAAAGGATTGCTAATCATGCAAAATGATAAAAATAAATACATTTATAAGTTTTCTTACCTTTGAGCCACCTTATCATTCCTCATAAGCCAGTCCACCACACGATTCCCACTGACACAGTTTCTGTATGTGCTGAGTTTGACTCGGTGGCTCTGCATTTCTACACCAGATACAGGATCCAAAAGCTTCCGCCATAACTCTCGTAGCTGTGCAGAGTCCTAAATCAAGGGAAAGAAATTAGAATACCTGTACCTACCTCACGATATACTCAAGCTTATTTAAACAAAAACACAATTTTCACAGCTTTGATGAATTTAAGTATGTCTTAGTTCATGATTCATTTTGTATTACCTCCAGGATTTTAGGATCAATGGCATCGATGTGCTCCGTACAGAAGTCTGTCACTGATTCCTGACTGGTGAAGTTTGGGTTTATACCTCTAAAAAAATTAAGTTCACAAATGGCTAGTCTATATTACTAAGCTTTAAAAACTTTTACGTTCAATATAATCATCTACCAACTACCAAAAGTTATGGGAGCTGAGGAATGATTAAGATAGAAAACCTCCCCTTCATGAGTTTTAGCTCTGTCATGAGGACATCTGTACTTACCTTAAGGAGCCTTGGTCTGTGGATAATCTGCTCCCTTTGGTGCCCCAGATCTGGTGAGAAGACTGCTCTATTTCAGTGGAGTTACCCAGTTCATCACTCTCTACATGCATGTTCCCTGTGGGTTCTGTCTGCAAGGCACTGAGAGCCACCTTACCGCAGTATGTACAAACACGGATACCACCTATAACAAGTACATAAAGTATAGCCACCTTATCACAGTATGTACACATACGGATACCACCTATAACAAGTACATAAAGTATAGCCACCTTATCACAGTATGTACACATACGGATACCACCTATAACAAGTACATAAAGTATAGCCACCTTATCACAGTATGTACACACATAGATACCACCTATAACAAGTACATAAAGTATAGCCACCTTATCACAGTATGTACACACATAGATACCACCTATAACAAGTACATAAAGTATATGTCCCTCGGAGCGGTGCAGACCGAAAACTCTTGGCTAGTGTAGATGTGTGCTCAAAGTACTCTAGTATTTTTTTCTACCTTTATAGCCTATGATGCGTCCTGGTAGTTCCTGATTACAGCATCTACTACAGAATATCTGTCCACACACTCGACAGTGATGCCGCCGTCTAAAGGTGGTGAATCGGTCACCACAATCATAACACTCTCTGGAACTGCTGTCAGGCATCCAGTACTGCTTAAAGTCACTGTCCTTATATGCTTGAGGGGTCTGAAAATATATTAAAATTTTACAGAAAATTTATGTCATTTTTTAATGTTATTTTTTGTTTCTACTATTAACACTTGCTACAATAAGATTGCAATTTTTGTTCAGCTACTGCTTTTTCAACCAGTATCTTTCTTTTTTTTTTAAATAACTAACTCAGAACACAGAAAATAATAAAACTTTTCACTGACCACATTCCTCCCCTCCAGGATTTTACTGAGGCGAGTGAGAACACTGGATCGAGTTCTGTTGGCCATTTGCTGCATGGTGATGGATGTCTGTCGAGTATACTCACTGCCTGAGGATGCTCGACTCCTCCCACTGTCCTCATCACTCCCTCCCTCTGTAAAAAAAACAATCAACACTCACTAAAATGCCAACACCCTAAATGTATCCGCGTCTCAAGCTATCCTAAGGGTAATCTAAAATTTATCAGTAAATTGTGGATTTCCTTAGTTTATAAATTTCTTTCCAACAAGGAACAAATTATTTAAAAGATGGAAACTTCAATGAAAATTTAAAAATACATCTTGAGGAAGAATAGCAGTTTTGATACTAGGGTGCTCAGAACATCTTTAACAAGGAAATTAAACAACTGTTTAGTGCAATTTGACATTGGAAACATTTTAAAGGTAAATGTATAAGGAAATTAAATTTGATTTTTTGCATAATATATCATGCTGACAACTATTTTGAGAACTAATAACTCTGTAATAAATACAGTGAAATATTATTAAATTAGTTCTTAAAACAACAGACTAAAAGAAAGTTTAATAGTAACTAGAGGAACTGTGAGCACTGACCTCACTTAATGATACCCCACCTCCCAAATTATAATGGCAAAGTTCATAATTTGCTCTGAGAAACCCAAAATAAGTTTGAGATCAAAAAAGTAAAATAAGAGGTACACAATGGCATTATATAATAAAGAATCTGTGAAAGTATCATTAAAATTCATTCAGTGGTATAGGAGGAGTTGCAGTTAAGAGATGGTACCCTTCAAAATTATAGAAAGAATGGCTGAATCAATGTTTGGTTATGGGAAATTCGAAAACCAAACTATGTATCGGATCAAAAACTAAAATAAGAGGTGCACAATGGCACTATGTAACAAAGATTTTGTGAAAGTTTCATTAAATTTAATTCAGTGGTACATGTATATTTAAGGTGGAATGCCACACCAACTTTTTATTTTATAGATCTTTGAGTCATCCTTTTTAAACAATGGTTTCAGCATTGAAAGGCCGATATTAGCTCTTAATTATTTTATATGAATTTTTTTGTGTTTTTTCAAAGACAGTGAAAAAAAAAATTCATATCCAAATAAGTTGTTTTCGAACTAAAAGTTTGCTGTAAATGAATGCATCATATGAATATCTAATAAAACATGTAAAGAAAGGCTGGTAAGACTTTTAAATTTTTTTTATAAAAAATTATTTATGGTAAAAAAACACATTAATTGTGAATATTTTTTAAACCTATGGTTAAAAACACCATAAAACTAGTCAAAACTGAGGACAACATGTTTGTCAATCATATTTTAAAAAAAAATTGAATCGAAATTGAGAAATTTTAAAGAAATTATTTTTTTTAATATTTGGACCTAACCCCATCAAAATTAAACTGATCCCGATCAAAATTAACACAAAATGAATAAAAATGCTAATTTATTGCCTCTTCATGTATTTACAATGAAGAAATCTATTTTATTGTCAAGTTCAATAATGTTTTAACCCTTATTACACCTAATCAGACTAGTGTTCTTGGGAAAATGTTATTTATTTTCAATAATTGTACAATTATGGTTGGGATCGGTTTAATTTTGATCGGGATTGGCCAAAATTAAAAAAATTAATTTCTCTACAATTTGGCCATTTCGTTTCAATTTCTTTTACAAATATAATTAATGAACATGTTCTCCCCAGTTGTGACTGGTTTTAAGAAGATTTTAACCACAAGTTTAAAAAATATTCACAAATTATGTGTTTTATTTTCATAAATATTTTTTTATCTAAAAGTTTTTAATATCTTTACGGCTTCTCTTTACATATTTTATTAGATATTCATGTTATGCATTCATGTACAGCAAAATTTTTACAACAAAGCATCTAATTTGGATGTAAATAATTTTTTTCATTTTCTTTGAAAAAATACAAAAAAAAATCATATAAAATAATTGAGAGCTAATGTCGGCCTTTCAATGCTTAAACCATTGTTTAACAAGAATAGATATGGGTTACCCCATATCCAAAGATATTCGACTTTTAGATTTAATATGTTTAAGAGTGTTTAATGACTTTTATAAAAATAAAACTGCACTGCATGTCTAGTTATAGAACTTGTGTAAATTTCCTGAGTCCGTAGCATTACGGTCACCCAGTCTCCTAACAAACATTACACATACCTGTGTCCGCAAGTCTACACACGTGCGATGGAGTTGTCAAACGGACTCCCGCGAACAGAGAAGTTACGATAGCAGACAGAACTTTTTTCATAATTAGATCACATGAATACAAATTCTGATTAATAAAAATTAAACGATTGTCAGTTTAGAAATCCCTGGCCCAGTTCGGGTTTTGTAACACATTTTATAGGTAGTCTCCCTATGTGTAGTTTGTCTACACACGTGCAGGAATCTGCTCAGGATTGAAAATTCCGTCATATAATATGCTACACACACAGAATGATTATTTTTTCTCTAAGAGGAAACTATATGATGATTAACGAACAATTAACATGATTTTACTACAGTTGTTGATATAGTATAATCAATTCATCGGTGAAAAAATATCAACCGAAGAATGACCTAGATATTCTCTGTTATCAAACATGTTAAAAAAAAAACTGAGGAGGGAGCGAGCGTAGGAATATTAACATTTTTTATTTGCATTTAGGGGGGAAAGTGATCTTTGGAGGAAAAATTTACATTAATTTTGGTTTCTTTTACATATGACATACTCAACATTATTCTTATCATGAACAATTATGTTGTATCTACTTATTAATGATGGAACTATTTTCGTCGGAACAATTTGTGTGAGTCGCCGCTGACTACAGTAATATATCTTGCACTAATAGTAAGCACTGATCGAATATATTAAAAAGGTTGACTCAGAGATCTATAAAATAAAAAGTTGGTGTACCCCAAAGCATAACAGATGGACGGACGTACAGACGGATGGACATACAGATGGATGGACATCCTGATCACTATATATCCTCCCATTTTTCAAGTGGGGGGGGGGGTATAAAAAAGAAAATTGGTTTTAAGGTTTATTTTTATGTAAATTAAGTAAATAAATATTTCTTTTCTATTTCCCTTTGACTATAAGTGTGGTTTGTAGTTTTTTGTAGTGTTGGGGAGGGAGGGGGCTCAGCAAATAAACACAACAACCAAAATTTAAATAACACAGCTGTATATCAGATAACTTGCTATATTTACCATTATCTGTTTGTTTCTTGAGTGATTCTGGGACTACTGTTGGAAGAGTCTTCTCCCTTTCTACAGACACTTCACGCGAGCTGCTGGATGACTTAGAACTTTCCTTATCATCTGAAGAAGATAAAAGAAATTAGAAAATCCAGCATGAAAACCTCAACATGATATAACAAAAAATATCTAAAATATGTATTGTACAGGAGAAGAAAATTTCAAAAAAATCTGAGTAATTCAACTGGTCATTTTTGTCAGTAAATTAATAAAGAGGACCATGGGCCACTATGTTCATCTGAGTCACATTAGTCCTGCTTTTAATGGGGTAAAAAATTAGACTTTTCCCCTTTGTATTCCTTTAAAAATGTTTGACCCCATATCATAGTCCCACCCTTTCCACAAGTAGGCATATTTGAGCAAAACTGAATACCTAAGAATTTTTACATTTATAAAAATATCAATAATTATTGCTGGAATGTTCTTAAAAGGAAGATTTTTTGATCATTTATTGTGACTGTGCTCATCCCTGGTGCCTTATTTAAGCTAACTACTGGTAGAATCTGCACTACCTGAGAATGCTAACATGTTTATACATGTATCACTAAACCTGGCCAATATATTCTTAAAAACGAGATTTTCAACACTGCACTATCTGAGATGCTTACATGTTTATATCTGAAATGAAAATTTTAAAGTTTATTCATCTTAACATTCCTGTTTACAGTTTTGATCATTTATCATGACTCTGTTCTGCTCTGGGAAAGGAAGGCTGGGGTTGAATTTAACAAAATCAATTATGATTTACGTCCTCTTTATATTCCACTGTAAATAATGCTCCCCTATTACAGTCCTACCTACCCCAAGGATCCATGATTTAAACAAACTTGAATCTACACTAATAGGCTATGTCAAATAGCTTTCATATATACTCTGGTATAAGTTTTACCTTTTTTCCAATGCTTAATTAACCTTCCTTTAAAAGAGAGCAATTCTTCATTTGAACTAACTCGAATCCCCAGCTTTGTGGCAAGTTTGTTTGAAACTGATACATTATTTTTAAGGAGATGTGGAGAAGAAGTAAAATTTGTAAAAAGTTTACAGACTACCGGTATACAAAGACAGCTGGACAGACAAACGTCAAGGCACCTTTTGATCAGACAAGCCCATTTGAGCACTTAACCAGAAAACATAAAAAAATTGACATGATAGTTGACCTCTTTGTGTCCTTTTTAGAAGCTTATACAGGAAACCGGAGGATTGTTGTTCTTCAGAACTCAGAGGTCCAAAGGTTGTAAGTGTGGTGGGTAGTGGATCCCACTGTGACATGGTGCTAGGATTGATGAAAAACTACAGCCATTTTCTGAAAAAAAAAAAAATAAAATATACAGATGAGTATACAATTTACAGTAATTACCCCTTCTAAGGTCAACATGGTAAAATAAGGATCCTAAACCTGCTGTACAAGGTGACATGACCAAGTGGAAGGCTACAAATTTAGACTTGTGTTCAGTGTTTATAGCCTTTGAGCATTCAGGGATACTTTGGTGCAAGGACATATAATTTCAATTATACAATGGACAATTGAAATGATGAGTCGCAAGTGTTAAACATGAAAATTCTCAGGACAGGAACTACAATGGGACACAAATCAGAGATGCATCAATCACATAATAATCTCTGAAGATATAAAAACCTTCACTTCCATTCAATAAGTAACTTTCATCTTTATTTTTTGAGGATTTCCAATTGAGGTGTCGAAAATCACCTGTCAAATTTGCCAACCTTTCCTGGATATAATTTTTTATAGAAGCCTAGTTTTAGCTTAATTAAAATTAGGATTTTTCAGTTTAATACTTTGTGAATATGTCACAGAAAAATATTTTATTTTAAAAAGTCAAAGAACCCTTCCCGTCCCCAAGCACCTGTGCTTTAATTAATATATTATAAAACTAGTTCAAGGCTAGGACCCATATCAAGAACAGCTGAAGAGATTGTGTCTGTTCATCTATGATCTTCTCATTCTTCTGATACAGTTGAAATTATTTAAGTAGGCATAATGTCTTCCAATGGAAAATTCATTAAGTGTTATAAACAAAATATCCTTATACTGAGTGTATTCTGCTTGGTAGCCTTGAGAAGTCCAAGTTGTAGCCTGTAGGGTGCTTTTCAAAATGAAACAATTCTACTGTACACTGCAGCACAAAGACATCACGATTAGTTTACAAACTCAACATTTGGGCAAATCTATACCTTAAAAACAAATGGCCATTTTTACATTCTTGATATTTAAGCTGAACCATATTCATTTATAGTTCGTTCTGTTCACATGTCATTTAGTCTCGTCTGTCATAAGGTTTTCCTCTACAGCGCCATCTGTAAACATTATTGGTTTAAAATAGAATAAAAATTATAAATCGGATTTTCCGGAAATATTTTTTTTCTCAAGATGACAGATGTCACAGTCGAGCGTATTTTTACCATTTGCAGAACATTGAGCACTCCATTTCTATAATTCTGAAAATTAGATAGTCTGTTAAAAACTTTAAACTTTTTTATTACTTTTGATTAAAAGCTGAAACAAGATGTGTTTGTGAAACACGTACTAAATGCCCCAGTATGGCAACAGCGAAGGTTATAAGCTTTCTCAAATGCAGATCAAATATGTTGGTACCTAAAGTAAGGCCTTTTCACAAGAAATACAAATGTGAAATATAAATCACCACCTGTTCAAAGGTTAGGACCAAGGTTAACGTTTTTAATGGCATGACAAACTCTGGGGTCAAGGTCAAAGGGTCAAGGTTGTTGGTATTTAAGGCCTTGTCTCAAAGATTACATACGGGAAGTATGAAAGTGCTGGCCCTTACCGTTCAAATTTAATTACGGCCATTTTAAAATTTGTAAAAAGTCTGCCAAACTCCAATTAAGGTCAAAGGTCAAAATTGTTGATATCCAATGAAAGGTCTTGCCACAAGGATTACATATGTGAAGTATGAAAGCTCTAGCACTTACTGTTCAAAAGTTATGGCCAACGTTAAAGTTTGTAAAAAGTAGGTTGAAATCCAAGGTCCAATGAAAGGTCTTCTCACAAGGATTACATATATGAAGTATAAAAGCCCTAGCCCTTACAGTTCCAAGCCAAGGTTAAAGTTTTTTTTCGTAAGTACGGAAATATCCAAAGTCACGGTCAAAATTGTTGGTTTCAAATGAAAGGTCTTGCGACAAAGAATTGATATTTGAAACATTAAATTCCTAGTATCTACCGTTTAAAAATTAGGACCCATATGTAATCTTTGAGACAAGGCCTTTCTTTAGCAACCAAAACCTTAACCCTTTGACCTTGACCCCGGAGTTTGTCCTACCTTTAAAAATGTTAACCTTGGTCATAACCCTTGAACAGGTGGTGCTAGGGTTTTATATTTCACATTTCTATTTCTTGTAAAAAGGCTTACTTTAGGTACCAACATATTTGATCTGTATTTGAGAAAGGTTAACCTTCGCTATATTGCCATACAGGGGCATCAGTGTTTCACAAACACATCTTGTTTTTTTTACTATAACTGCTTTTTTCCCTATAAGTTTGAACTTTAATTGTGGTCCAAACCTACCCCCCCCCCTCCTCCTCTTGGAGTCATGTTTTTAACAAATATGCATCTACACTATACCTGAGGATGCTTCCATAAAACATAACCAATCATGACTTTGTTGTTCTTGAGCATGTTGAGAAGATTTTTCCTATATATTCCTATGTAAAACTTTGACCGTCCATTGTGGCCTCAATCGCCCTAACGCAAAGGGTCATGATTTGAACAAATTTTAATCTACTCTACCTGAGGATACTTCCATATATATGATTAAGCATGACTTTGCTAATCTAATGAAGATGATTTTTAATGACATCTTCCTATATATTCCTACATAAAATTTTGATCCGCCATTGTGGTCCCACCTTACCCCCGGGGGATCATGATTTATACAATATTGAATCTACACTACCTGAGGATGCTTCTTTATAAATATGACCAATTATGACTTTTCTGTTTCTCATCGGAAGATTTTAAAAGAGTTTCCCTATATACACCTATGTTAAAAACTTTGACCGCCCATTGTGTCCTCACCCTTCCCCTGGGGGACATGACTAAAATAACCTTGAATCTACTCTACCTGGGAATACTTTTATATAAATAAAACTAATCATGGCTTTGCTATTCTCGAGAAGATGTTTCAAGATTTTTCCTATATATTTTTATGCAAAACTTTGATGGTAGGGTCAATGATGGTCGCGCCCTACCCCCGGGGGTCATGATTTAAACAAACTTGAATCTCATATACCTAAGGATATTTTCACATAAGTTTCATCTTTCCTGGCCCAGTGGTTCTTGAGAAGAAGATTTTAAAAGATTTTTCCTATATATTCTTATGTTAAACTTTGATCGTCAATTGTGGCCCCACCCTAACCCTGGGGGTCATGATTTGTACAAAATTGAATCTACACTACCTGATGATGTTTCCACATAAGTTTCATTTTTCCTGGCCCAGTGGTTCTTGAGAAGAAATTTATAAAGATTTTTCCTATATATTCCTTTGAAAAACTTTGATCGGTTATTGTGGCCCCGCCCCCGCCCCGGGGGTCATAATTTGAACCAACTTGAATCTACACTACCTGAGGATGTTTCCATATAAGTTTCATTTTTCCTGGCCCAGTGGTTCAAAAAAAGAACATTTTTAAAAGATGCCATTATTTTTTCACTAATTCTTAATTATTATCTCCCCTTGAAAGAGGGTGAGGTCCTTCATTTTGATAAACTTGAATCCCCTTCACCCAAGGATACTTTGTGGCAAATTTGGTTGAAATTGGTCTGGTGGTTCTTGAGAAGAAATCGAAAATGATGTGTAAAGTTTACAGACAGACGGACAGACAGCTAGACTGACGCCGGACAAAATGTGATCAGAGAAGCTCACTTGAGCCTTTTGCTCAGGTGAGCTAAAAACTCTTACTGTGGCCTTCATCTCGACATTTAGATTTATCGACAACGTACTGCCGATCAGTTAACAATGGTAATTTCCATACCTATGTCAATACGATATATCCTGGTGAGCTTGAAAGATACCGCGGAGTCTGACACAATTGTTTCATACTTGAATATTTTACTTAAAAAAGACATTAATGGTAATCTAACAACCAAGCTCTATGATAAAAGTGATGACTTTAACTTTTCTATCGTCAGCTTCCCTTACTCATGCAGCAATATACCTTCATCACCTGCATACGAAGTTTATATCTCAGTTGATTTGATGTACGCAAGAGCATGCTCTAAGTATGAAAAAATTCTGAAACGAGGAAAATTATTGACAAACAAATTGATTAAACAAGAATATCAGCAGTCTCGTTTGAGTCATCAGTTCGTAAGTTCGTGGTCGATACAATGACCTTTTCCAATTTATCATTTAGTCAAATGCTGACTGACGTTTTCCATACTAATTGTTAGTCCATTATTTATACACTGAATTGACGATGGATTTTCCCGTTATTTCCCGATCTTGACAAGGAGCACACGGCGGGTGTGACCTGTCGGCAGGGGATGCTCACTCCTCCATGGCACCTGATCCCCCCTCTGATGATATGGGGGTCCGTGTTTGCCCCTGATTGGTGCTGTTTTATAGACTTTTGATTTTGGATACTGTGAATGATACATGTATACATGTAATGTGCTGATTGCACGGACCACGGATATGCAACATGTATCGTATTAAGTCGATGCGATTATTGTCGGCGGACAAGTTGAAGCTAATAGTGATAATTCGCAAGAATAGTAATGGCTACGATTTGACTTAGACAAATTTAATGAATTTTCTTAATCAAACATAGCAAAATTTACTTTGAATAAGAATTATTTCATAAGACGCATACCCCCCCCCCCCAATCTGCTTACCCATCAATCACAATGCAAAATTATCTTTAGAATATTAGTATATGAAAATTGTTGATTCACTTGCAGCATACGATCAACCAGGTTGTGGGAATCAGTCAATCACATTCAGATCCATTGTCTCTAATTTACAGACAAGTGTGTTTAATTTTTTTTTTTTAGTAAAACAAGAAAGATTTTATGGACCATAGGTATTTGGTGTGTATTATTACTGTTTTTAATATGTATAGCTTTGTTAATACAAGTATACACACTCAAACTTTAACAGTATTACTGGAAATTGGGGCAATATATTAGTTCTGGAAGAAAAAATTAATGGGGTCCCCTTAGTGTAGAGCTCATACCATGAAAAGTAATGCGTGACCATATAATTTTTTTCAGCTTATTCTTTTTCTTAAATATGTTATTTAGTAAAAGAAAACAAATTTTCGAAGATTGAGTCCATAGATTTTTGTTGTTGTTTTTTTTTTTTCAAATGACCGAGATTGACCTGTGAAGCATATTTTCTCATACTAAATGTTGAACGTTAGCTCAACAAAGTGCAAATATTTATATTAATTCGTGCAAAACAATGATTATATATGGTTTGTAAACAGGTTTCTACTCTTTTTTGTGTATTAAAGTTGAATATTTAGACTTTAACTGATTTATATTCAACAAAATCTAGGTGAGGTAAATATCAGTATTTTATTTTCAGGGTATATACTCCGAGAGGCAATAGCGGAAAAGTAAACATGTTGACATATAATTTTTCTCATGTCTATCCATTGCTGGGATCTATGTCTATCTTATAAAAGCATATATTTAGGATTGAGCCCATTTAGTGCCGAGTGTAGAACTACCTTAATTAATTAAAATGATTATAAAAATTTTGTAATTGTTCCAAAAGCTTTTATTCGCATTTTCTGAAAATTTAAATTGAGATTCACTAATTTTCCCTATATGATATGATTAACTCTAAAGATGAAGTTTGAAGAATTTCGTGGGTAAAAACACATGCATTACTTTGAGAATTCAGAAACAATTTTGTAAGCATTTTCAATTAGTAGTAGTATAAGCCTCCCCGCTAGGGCGGAAGATTTTGATTGGCTGAGAGAAATCACATGATCAGATTTGATTGGTGGAGGGGATAAGTGGGTCAACTGAGTGCAGTGCTAACCCTAACCCCCTAGCCCTAACCCTAACCCCCTAACCCTAACCCTAACTAACCCTAACCCCCTTAGCCCTAACCCCCTAACCCTAACTAACCCTAGCCCTAACTAACCCTAACCCTAACCCTAACTCCCCTAACTAACCCTAACCTATTCCCCCCTTAAATACTGGAGTTGTTTACACTGTTTGCATGGGTACGTAGGTACTACCTTTTTTTCTTTTTATGCTGACTATACAGGTAAAAATGCGCCGTGTGCAAAAAAAACA